GATTTTGATTCGGATATTTTTATTTTACAAAAATATTAAGTCAGTTTCTGTTTTTTATGTAAATCATATCATTTTCAAGGCAATAAAACAGAAGTCACCGAATACCGATTTTAAAAAGGTCTATTAGTTTTAATAGGAAATGGAAAGAGCTCTTTCTCTTCGATGATGTCCGGTCTCCTTCTTGTTTAAAATTGATAACTATAAACGGATTGAGGTATTTTGTACCGTTTTAAAAAATTTAAGAAAAATTTTGAAGAATATTTTTTTAATTAGTAAACTTTGACAAACATGTACAATATTCTAAAAGATAAATCACATTACGTGTAGGTAAAGGTTAAATCTATGCTCCTCTGGAACCACTTTTTAAAAATTCAATTTAGGTTTTTCTAAAAAAAATTGAAAAAATGGGTAAAAATAGTCGACCTATTTTTTTTTTTTTTTTAGAAAAAACAATTTCAAATTTTAAAAAAGTGTCTCCAGAGGAGCATATATTTATCCTTTACCTACACGCACATATTTTTCAGAATAAGTCAAAAATAAACTTTAAAAGTGGGGGTACTACGAAACCCTTCATGCTCCGCTTTACAGTCAAGTAAATACTCCTCTTAAGAAACAAAAATTTTTTTTATTTTTTTAAAATAATATGGATTTTCCTCTAAAATATATATAGTGGCTCACAAAAATGCGTAGTTGCCTCTTATATTTAGATTAACTCTTGACACAATATCCTAATCTAAACTAAAGTGAAAATGAAACCATCTATAACTTGGCAACTAGGTATTTTCTCACTACGGAATTTGTTTAGTCGTAGTCGTTAGCATGACAAGCGTTTCCATGGCAACAGTTTCTCTATAAGATCACGCTACGCTCCTCTCACCCACAACCTAACTACTACAGAGGATCGCGAGCGAAGCGAGAGCGCCCGGCCGAATCGTCGGCCGGGTGCGCCCTTTTTCCACTTACATCGAAGGATCATGCTACGCTCCTCCCACCCACCTCTTAACTACTACAGAGGAATGCGAGCGAAGCGAGCGCGCCCGGCCGTACTCTTTTTTCACCTGCATCATAAGATCACGCTACGCTCGTTCCACCCACCTACTAACCACTACTTAGCAACAACGCTTTTCCTCACCACAAGATTTGGGTTTTTATTTAGTAGTAAGCATAATAAGCGTTTTCATGGCAACACTTTCTTCATAATTGATTTCGGCTAAACTAAAGTGAACATTACCCAGCAAACACACTTACGTACATAAGACGTACTATGTACGTACTGATGGGACGTAAAGTACGTACCATGTACGTACTTTACTGTACGAAGTACGTACATAGTACGTACATAATACGTACATTTTCCAAACGACGGTACGTACCTAGTACGTACTTAAAGTACGTACTCTGTACGTACCTAATGTACGTACTCTGTACGTACCTAATGTACGTACTCTGTATGTACATAATGTACCTACTCTGTACGTACCTCATGTACGTACTTAATGTACGTACTATGTTTGTACTTAATCCAATAGAGTATATATTTTAGACGTACTTTACATCCTTATTGGTACTTACTTATGATGTATAATGTACGTATTAGTGCAATAAAAAGAAAAGTAAACAGGTTAATTTGTATTTATTTAATTTTTTACATTAAAAGAATAATTTAAATTGTTTTGCTATCTTTTTGAAAGTTTTTAGGCTATCATCAGCTCTTCTTAGCCATCTCACAATTTCCTGTTCTATAAACTTCTTCTCTTTGCATTTGTTACTTTTTATAGCACCTTCTGCAAAGAAATAATTTCAAATTAGAAACTTAACTTTGGTACTTTTTATAATAAACAATATAATAAAAACAATACAACAAAAAGATGTAAAGTAAGCGATAGTTTCTACAGCTCAAAATTATCATTGTCAATATACTCCTGGATCTAAACGTCTCTCATTTGTATCCACCTGTTTTGGCCTTATGCCTTTGAAATCCAATTCGTTCTTGCCACTGTTCTATAATATCGGAACTCCTATATTTCTTTTTGTTAAGCTTGATCTCCATCAGTTTTGAAGTCCAATGGTTGGAAGTACACAATTTCATTAGAAACAAAAATAATTGTGACTAGATAGATGGGTTTTAATGCAACGACTTTATCAAAAAAATGGGATGCAAAAATAAAAAATTAAAACATCTTACCCACTTCAACTGCAGCCAATTATAATTTGTTGCCAGCTTATTAGTTATTAAGGCACCAGCAATAGTCCTTTTTATTCATTTCCTTAAACTTTTTTAATTGTTTTGTAGCATTTTTGTAATGTTTACTATGGGATGGGATGACATATCTATAAATTATATTTATTACACATAATTTTTTAAAATTAAAATGAAACCACTCACCAGAATAAAATGACAAAACTACGTACTTATAACAGGCACTAAAAAGTCTAAATAACTGTCTTGTTCAATTATAATAAATTATACACAACTATTTATTTAATGAAACACCTAATAGTTAAATCCTAAACATGAAAAAACTAACAAAAACAATCTGTTGAAACGTGGTTGGTTGCATTGCAACACTTAAAAAAACGAGCGAGTTTAGTTTAGAGTTTATGGGGTCTATTCTGTAACAATTCCTTTATATTTAACGGCCTTTAAAAATATTTTCTTCTTTACTTCTCTCATTATTTAAACGGATCTTTAAAATACATTAGAGGACTATCTTAAAGAAATCTGTTTAAATAATGATAGAAGTAAATTAACGAATAAGAAACTATTTTTAAAGGCCGCCAATATTTTTAAAGGCCGTTAAATATAAAGGAATTGTTACAGAATAGACCCCTAGGTTAGGTTAAATAAATTGGGTTTCGTCTTTTATCTTTGCATTTTTTGGCCTACGGTCAACAGAAATTTGGTAAAAACATAGGTTTTTTAATAAAATAGGTATGCAACCAGGATTACGTACACTTAGGTACGTACTTAGTACGTACTTTTCTGTACGTACTGGTACGTACTGTTGTGTACGTACTTAAAACGTACATTTTACGTCCTGTACGTACAGTACCAAAACTGTACGTACTTAAGACGTACTGTGCTGTTTGGGAAATAATCTATAACTTGGCAACTACGCATTTCCTCTCTGCCGGATTTGGATTTTTGTTTAGTCCTTAGCATGATAAGCGTTTCCATGAAAACAGTTTTTCCGTTTTTCGGCTAAACTAAAGTGAACATTACATTATCTATAACTTGGCAACTACGCATTTCCCCACCACGAGATTTGGGTTTTTGTTTGGTCGGTAACATGACAAGCGTGACCATGGCAACATTTTTTGCATAACTAATTTCAGTTAAATGAAATTAAACAAAAACCATAATCATCTACAACTTGGCAAATACGCATTTTCTCACCAAGAGATTAGGGTTTTTGTTTACTCATACCCATCACAATTGTTATTACGACAACAGTTTTTGCATAACAGATTTGAAAGTTGAGCCGTTTTCTTTAACTTTCTTTGGGTATGCCCTTGTGAACTCCTACGTGTCAAAAATCATCTTCCTATGTTAGTATAGTCTAAGATCCGAAGTAAGGTCGACCTTCACCCATCTGTTTAATGGATGAAAGTTTCTTTTTATTAAATAAAATATGTTTATAAATATACCGCAAAAGGGTTGCCTAAGAAAAAACGGTTCAGACTATTTATTTTCTTATAATAAAAAAATGACACCCTGTAAAGTATTCCCCAATGTTTCGACTATGCCCAAACTTTAATCAGCTCCCCACAGGATAGATTAAAGCTTAAGTTTTAAATTTGGTGTTTTTCTCTTTAACCGTTTTCGAAATTTGCACTTTTCTTCAAATATCTCGAATTAGGTTCATTTTAGGGAAATCATGTATAGGGACAAAATAATAGAGAATAACATCATACGCAACTTTAATCATGATTTCTATACTTTTCTTATCTGTACAGAGAAAGGAAAGCAAAAAATAGCCGTGACCGTATTTTCTTAGGCAACCCATTTGCGGTATATTTAAAAACATATTTTATCCAATTAAAAATAACTTTTATCCATTAAACAGATGGGTGAAGGTTGACCTTATTTACGGATCCTGGACTAGTATGAGAGCCCACTGAAAATTTCGACCGTCATCTGATAACGAAATGAAATATGCTCCAAAGTCATGTAACAACATTGTACTTTACCAAATTGCACCTGTGCCAATCCCTATCCTGAGCAAAGTGGTTAAAAAAAATTATTTTATATTCAAAAAAATCACATAAGACATGACAGCGACAATTGTATTTTCCCTGAAAATTACAATCCTAATTTATTGTGAACCTAGCTTTTAAACCTGAATTATTAATATTTTTACCTACCTTTCAAACCATGTTTATGTGTGAAAGGAAGAATGATGGCATTGTATAAACCATTTGCAGAGATACTCAATAATAATTATAAACTCCTCTTAGACAATTATTTTAAACCATAATCATAGTAGTTTTTTTGTCGTTTCTATGGCAACCTGTAAAAATGAATCACAACAAGAGGCATACAAATACATTTTTAAATCAGCAAAAATTCTTTCATATTTTTAATGATTTTTACCTACTAATCGTGGATAGATGTTTTTGTGCGATGTTAAGAGGAAGAAAATGTTTCCCTTTAACGATATATATATATCAAGATATATTTGAATGTTATTTTATGGAAAACTTTAAGGGCAAACAAAATTAGCGCTGTCATGCCTTATGTGATTTTTTTAATATAAAATAATTTTTTCAAGCCACTTTGCTCAGGATTGCACAGGTGCCATTTGGTTAAGTACAATGTTTTCCCATGCTTTTGGGGTTTATTTCATTTCGTTATCAGATGACGGTAAAAATTTGCAGTGGGCTCTTGGGCTATGTAGCCGTACCTCTATTTATATGATTTTGTTTTTCCTGTATATCTGAAGGTTAGTGGTATTTCCTGACACGTTGTATATAAAAATTAAACAAATTTTAAAAAATACCTTAGTTTTGATCGAATCATTCAGAAAGGACTGATGTTGGAGTCTTTCTAGTTGGATCCATCTGTGCAAGCGATTTATTTCCAAACTAATATCGTTCACTTCTTGTTGCGAAATAGAAAAGGTATTTACTTCCAAATACTTTGCTATTAAACTGATATGTTTATTTGAGCGCGGTAAATTTGACAAAGACAATTTCTCTTTTGTCAGAGGCTCGATCATCATTTGTATCAAATCTATCTTGATCCGAATACCGTCTAAATCCATTTTGTCAATAGTCTTTCTATTATACTCGTGATATTCTAGTTTTCCAAGTAGTTTGTAATAAGCTTCATCAAGAGATTTCGCTAAAAATGTTTAAAAAATTAGCTTACATAATGATATATTTTGGTTAGCCCTCATACGGGCAAAATAAAAAATAAGAAGATATAATAATTAGGAAATAAAACTAGTAGGCAGTAGTATTTAAAATGTGCAGACTGGGATTTTATTAATACTACTAGTTTTATTTCTTAATCACCCAGTGTGTACACATCTATCACCTTCCTGTCTAATAATTAGGCTTGAATATAATTTACAGGTAGGGAGGATCTTCAATATTGAATATAATAAAAATCAATGAACAACAAACTTTACACTACAAACTCTCCTTCTTGTTAAGTTCTCCTTCCTATTCAATTCATCTTTAATTTAAATAAAACTTTCTTCATCTTTCTTTTATATTTATTTTTTATTTCATCTCTACGATATAAAATCTTCAACTTTAATATTTATCTATCCTTACTTGAATATATTTTCTGACTTATTTCCACTGAACTGTAACTGTTACTGGAACGCTAGTAAACAATACATGCGCGAGAAAATTTTGTGCCATCCATGCAGCGTCGAATGGAATACATTTATTTTGAAAGTGCTCTACTGTAAGGTTCGTGCGCTTGCGTATAACTTACATGGTAGCCGTGACGGTGGTCGGCGTGAACAGAGATAACTTTAGCCCAAAGCACATAAGTGTTTAGTGAAAATTGTTGTGCTTTTAGTTTGTTTAGTTCGGTTTAGTTGCTTCTGCTGTGTTGAAATTTGATAGATTCAAAATTATTCGAAAGTTATGTATGTGTGGATATCCTACAGTATTGATTTCTGGATTATTTAACATCTAAAGACACACAGTTTTAAAATGGTGCAGTAAATAATAAACCGCAATTATACCAGTGAGTTCAATTCTATTTATCGTATTTATTTCCTATATTAAAATATATTTTGCGAATCGTGCAATATTTTTGCAAAACTAGTCCAGCTATATGTTCGTGAGTTTTAAAAGGTGCGATTAGTCAGCTTTATTTGTTTAAGCATTTTTATTAACTTTCGAACTTCTAAAACTCTGTTTCCACATCTTTTTATTAATAATAATTGTGAGCTAGTTAACAGATACCATAATATATATTTTTCATTTTTAATTATTTGTTAATTATGAGTATATTTTATGTATAAACGGTTTTCTTTTAAAATCCTTAAATTTATGTTAATGTTTATTATAATGCTTAAAACAAAATTAGGCTGACTAAACGCATCTTTACTCTACAACGTTCTAACCTAACCAATTATGTTACACTTATGGCTTTTCACAACATTTTTAGACCCTAGGTTGACAAGCAATAGGTACCTAAGTTAGATGAATGCTTTTTGGAAGAAATCCTGACATAGAAAAACAGTTCCCATAAAGTGTGTAGTGCACACTTTACTGAGGCTGATTTTATATGTAGACGAAAAGAAAAGTATAAAACCAGGTGCTGTACCTTGTTTAAATTTGGGACTTCTTAAACCATTTAATACAAATATTAGTGCAAGTTCAAGGTAATAGTTTTTTAAATAAAATGATAAATGCTAGGTAAAATATATATTTTTTTTTTAGTCAAACGAAAGAAATTCCTGGTTCTGAAAAATTCAGTGCTTTATTATTCAAACAGAAATATCAACATGATAATAAAGAAAAGGAAAATCATCAGCAGGCATCCTATCCTTTAGAGACTTTTTTATCGTACAGGTATATTTGTGAACAACATTTTTCAGTACCAGAACTTTATTAAACTATAATGCATATTTTTAGAATAGCAGTGACATAGTAGCCAGTGATATACCTATTACTCCTGAGATATACATTCAGCAACTCGGAATCATATAATGATGTGATGTTCCAGGAATATGATTTTTCATATGAAATAGCTCAAAATGTAGATATTTCTAATGATGACAGATGTTGTTTAAATATCAATACACAATATAATCAGTTGACAGGTAAACTGCACTATGTGGACATAGTATAGTTTTATGAAGTTATATTTTTAAACTGACAATAATAGTACATTATATACCTAGGGTGAGAAGTGAGCTATTATTTACCGAGCACTTTTATATCCTGAGGCGCGTAGCGCCGAGGGATATAATGTGCGAGGTAAATAATAGCTTTCTCAGCCGAGGTATATATAGAATTTTTTTTACTACTAACATTAATATATTAGCAATTTTAATTTTGACATAAGTAATTTCCTAACAATTTGTTAAATATTTCGAAATATCAAGCAGAGTGGAGCGTGTTTCTAATCACACTGGCTTTATTTATGTAAACATTTGGCATGTGTCAAATTTTGATATGATTCCCATTGCATTTTTGATATTTTAGTGACATGGATTTATTGGTATTAATTAATAATTTTTGAAGCCTATTACCGTTGTTGAATTTCCTAGTTAATATATATTTTTACTATTAACACTGATATACATATATTATCATATTTGATTTGATTAGATTTTAATAAACCCAGCTTTAGTTATTTCCTACTTATTTTTCAAATATTTCAAAATATCAAGTAGTCTGGGAGTTTAGTTGTCAAATTAACAAAATGAAACTAATGAAATTTAGTTTCATTATTTACCTAGGTATTTTTTTATTATCATTATTTACCTAGGGTGAGAAATATTACTTCTCATTAGAGGAATGGAGTAAATAATGGTGATTTCTCATGTTAGTAGTAAAAAAAAGTGATTCTTTACAAAAGTCATTCTTTACAAACAAAAAAAAAATATGTTTCTCGAGAAAATAAGATTACATACAAAAATCTTAGATCAGATGCTAATAAATTAATAAACATAAAAATGTTTCATAATGCTTACAGACAAAAGTTGTTTGTATCCACTTCCTATTTGCTTAATAACAAGTTTGTGTTTTTAAATTCTCAATCATGTGTGTTCTGTGTAGGCTTTGTTACTGTTTCCCAGCGCCACTTCAGAAACAGCACTGTTAATTAGAACCCAACAGTGAATGGTCGAGTGGGGAATCCTACCAAGGCATCAGAATTGATTTTAAATAATTAAATTAAATAAAAAAATCCCGGCCAACAATGGGATTCGAACCTGGTACCCTTGGATCCACAGGCAGAGACTCTACCACTGAGCCACCCACCCCCCTGGTTGTTTTTAAATAAGAATAAATTTGCTACTTCAATGCAGCGTTTCTTTAATCTGCTTGATAAGTGGGACTCTCTGTTTCAATAATATAATTTTAATATATTTCTTTTACTGAATTATTTGCAACCAAAAATAACAATTATTTCAAATAATAATTATTTCCAGCTTAGTGTATGAAACGAGAGTAATATTCACTTTTTTTAATTTTAACCAGTCGTTAATTTGTATTGCTATTTTCTAAGTTTAATACTTTCTTAAATGCTATGAAAAAAAGCATGTTAAATTTCGCGGAACCTCATAGGGATCTCCACGAAACCCCAAAATTCTGCGGAACATCGTTTACGAAACGCTAATCTGATGCACAGTTTATAATAAATAATCAAAATACATTGTTTAAAAGAAGTACCACATAGGTAATATTATTTAATATTTTTTTAATTGAATTTATAGGGTGGCTCCAGGGAGGAGTTCATGGCCCCCATGGCAATCCTGAGATTAAAATTCCTACAATCCATGATCCCTTTATTAAAAAGGGTATGGCTAATGACAGTGGCACCCTTCAAAAATTCAGCCTACCCCCGCCCATGTTGCATACATTTAATATCATTTATATTTACTTTCAAATAAAAATTTTAAATATCTTCAAATTCGCAGTAAAATAATCCAATAACAAATAAAAACAACTAATTCGGAATACTATCCGTAAACACACAATGACAACTGAAGCGTATAATTTGTATATGGTCTAAGTGCTTCTCCCTCATATTTCAAGATTTTTACATTAAACTAGTCTATGTAAGTGCGTTTAGAAACCTTGCACGGCGCGTCTTACCACATAGAATAGGGTCAAGACGCGCCGTGCGAGGTTTCTAAACTGTCAAGTGTGCTGGAAAAATGGCGCAATCTGTACCTATGTACCGGGGATTATTATTATTATTATTAAAATGGTCTAAGTGCTGCGTCTACGTGCGCGTGGTCATTGCTGTTAGCTGTTAGTATGAAAATAACTATGTGCAGAAAGAAAATAAGAAAATCGACGAAAAAGACAACCTAAGGGCAGTGAAAGTGTTATATAAGAACGTAAAATACTGAAAACAATTGGTTCTGAATACAAAACCTATAAAGGCAAGGTAGTTCCGGTAAAACAAGAACCTTTACTCAACGTAAGTTATTTTTTCTTATAGTATGGACTGTTAGGTTCTAACCTAAAATTGTTGTTATAGATTCGTTGTAAGTGCAAATGGAAATGCAATAATCTTTCATTTGAGCAGCGGCTTAACCTATTTCATTCTTTTTACTCAATTTCTGATGAAACCAAACGGAGTAAATACTTACTTGGAGAGCAACCATCTGTTATACGCTTTCTGATGGAAAAGAAAAGCATTTGCAAGTATGCTGCAAGTTAATCTCCAAGATTTTTTCTATCGCACCATAAAATACAAGGGTTAGTGGAGAGAAAAAACCAGGTGAAATTGTGTTCAAAGCTTTGAATATAAATAGTCAGGAAGGAGGAATCCTAAACGACTTTGGAATCGCGATGGTATCTAATTTTGACAGTGAACTAGACGAATATGGCGACAAGTGTTTCCGGTCTACCAGTGACGTACTGTCATAAGGGTGCGTAGAAAAGACAATAATAAATTCTTATTTGCATATTATCTAAATTTACGGATTTCTCTCATTTTAACGAATAGCTATTATTTTGCGAGAAGTTTGCATATTTTTTTTAATTAATCATCATTATGTGAATTAATTTTACTTTAAAATTGCATGTTGGGTGGGATAAATATAGGAAAATATTTTCGGTATAACTTATAAAGGGCTTTCATTTTTGAAAAATCATAGCAATAATGTATTAATAAAAGAAATTTTTACTTTTTTTACGTCTTTATTATGACAATATTTTTATTAATTTAAATTTTACAAATGGTATAAATTTTACAAAAACAGTATGTCGTGTTTATTAAGGTTTGAAAATTAAATATGTTTTATAGATGCGTTAAAAAATAGTACGTTCGTTCAACAGAAGTGGATATGATGGCCATATCGCACGAAGACGAAATTTGAGCACAACGCCGTAGGCATGTATTTGTGTTTGTAATTATATTATGCAAGCCTGAGTACATAAAAAACTTCCTAATATCGAAGAGAAGATCTGATTATTTTATTACATAATATTATTAGTAATATTTTTTGCAGGACTTAAATTTTACATAAGTTGGTATAACACCTTTGCATGAAAGGATCCTATAAAGTAATAACGATTCTGTGAGTGCAAAATAGATTATTTTTAAATGTACATTCACACTTGATCGCAGGAATTTAAATTTTGGTAAAAGGCAACGCATTATTTATATGCTTAGTCCAGTTAAGATGAGAGTTTTAACTCACAAACCATAGATTGCAAAAACATAAGTTGTTTTTTTGCTGCCATGTAACCTTTTGTAGTTTTCTTATTTTATTACTTTTCAAAACATTTTCCTCCTGCAGTTCAGTAATTTTCCTCTTTGAAATTTTTTTTCGAGGAGTATCCTCATCTGAACTCTTTAGAGTTGAGGAAATACCTGGAACAGGAGAAGAACACTGAAGTGGCCTAGAAGGTCCTGGAACGGACGATAAATCTGTTTCCAGAAGAACTTTTCTTTGTTTTACAGCCTGAAAATTTGGCACATCTACAGGAATTCTTACTTCAGGATTGTAAGTTCTCACCTGTAAATAAATAAAAAAAAAACAAAATAAACCATATTTATATATTTTAGGACTATTTAGTTCAGGGTTTGAAATATATAAGTAGGTTTTAGGTTTTTTTAAGGTTTTTAGTTCATATACTATAAATCAAAAGTTATTATTAATAAAATTAAACAAAAAATACAAGCAAATAATTTTATTATATTAAAAAAATCACATTCTGCAAAAAAATGAAAAATAAATAAATGTTTTTTTTTTTATTTTTTAAATTGTCACTACAATTAATATTATTATCAAAAAGAATTGATAAAATGTTTGCATTTGTTTTTATATAATTTTTACACCCTTTCTCGCTAGAGTTGATTAGTAAAATTGTGAATTCATAATATTTACTTTATAAAACTTAAAATTGCAGAATTTTCACTTTTAGGTTTTTAAAAAACCTAAAAACCTAGGTTCAAAAAAACCGGTACATGATGATATAATTAGTAAAGGATTTATTTACTTACATACTTCAACCGGACCACCTTTATTGTTGGAACGGTTGTTGGTAGAAGTCTTATTCTCAGTTTTGAAGTTCGGTCGAAACAATCCTCTTTAAAATGACGTGAACACAAAAAATTAAGAGATTTTGGCTTACAATTTGTTTCTTGCATGAACTCAAGCGATAATCTTTAGGAAATCTGAAAATTGTTTACCTGGGATTAATTTATAAAATTTGTAAATCTAGAATCCTTAAGAAATCTGGAAATTGTTTACTTGCAATCAATTTATAAATCAAAATTGAGCAATAATTTATTCATTTTAACAACCACATAAATATCTTAAAATTGCTTAAGAGATTTGTTTAAATAGAATATGTATATATACCCTATAAACCATGAGACTACGCCTATGAGCACAGTTGATCACATACATACTTACCATGTTTGTTTACAAATTTAAAACATTAAAAATTTAAAAAACCTTTGATGTGGTTGATAATTGAGAGAACAAAATACTTGCTTATGAAATGTAGTCCCTTCCTTTCTGCTTTTAGCTGTGCTGCTGTATCCACAAGAGCAACAACTGACCATATTGTAATGTGTCTTTTAACGCGGAAAACTTAAAATTAACACTAATACTGACTAAATACTAAAACACTAAACACTTTTTAAAAACGTCTACAAAACATACGTTTGATAAATGTTAAATTAACAGATAAAATATCCAAATTATTAAAAATTTTAATCACTAAAATTAGGAACCAATTTTAGACACCATTTGTCATATGATGATGAGTCATCCATAGTCCAACATGGCTACCACTTCCGTCAGATTGATTAGATTAACGCAGACATAGCATGCTCCTTCCTGACTATTTATATTCAAAGGTTCAAAGTGTTGTTGTAACGCTAAAATACCCCTTAAATTAATAATTGTTGACTGTCTTATGTTCTATGTCAGACTACTTGTCACTTGTCAAATAGCTAATGGTAGAAAAAGATTGTGGAAAAGTTAATCCAAGATAATAAAGAGAATCAAAGGAGTATTTACGTGTTTCAATTATTATAATAAAGGAAAGCAATAAATAGAATTGTTAAACAATAAAATTAAAAGGTTATGCACCCAGAAAATAAAAGAAATAAATAGTGAGGTTAAAAAAGACAAGATGGCACATGTTGGAGTTGGTGGAAAGACTTTTTTCATTGAACCTTTGGATACTGAAAACTATTATAATTGGAAATTTAGAATACAATTAATTCTAGCTGAAAACGGAGTGGCTGAATGTATAGAAAGAGAAGTAAATATAGCACAAATGACAGCGGAAGAAAGAGCAAAAGAAATAAAGAATGATAATAAAGCGAAATCACTTATTGTGCAATGCGTAAAAAACAACCAATTGGAGAGCCTGAGGGAAAAGAAAACAGCTTATAGTATGTGGAAGGTATTGGAACAGAAGTACGAAAAGAAGGGCCTACCAGGGCAGTTATATTTAAAAAAGAAACTGTTATCGATGAAATTGAATGAAGGCGAAGACTTAAATAGATTTCTAGATAGATTTGATGAGGTAGTTCGGCAGTTAAAATCCACTGGTGTAGAAATTCAAGAAAGTGATGTGATATGCAACTTGTTACTTACGTTGCCAAAATCATATGAAACGGTAGCCACAATAATTGAAAATCAGCCAGCAGATACATTGAACTATGAAGAAGTCAAAAGAAAATTAATCTGTGAAGAAGAAAAAAGAAAACATAATTCACGACAGGGTATAGTAACTGATCAAACAGCTTTTGGTGCAGAAGTTATATGTTATGGCTGTGGTAAAAAGGGCCACATTAAGAGAAACTGCAGATTAACTAGCCACAGAAGTTTTGAAAGAAATCTAAGTTATTCAAATACACAGAGAGGAGGTTTCCAACAATTTAGAAGCAGAGGGTTTAACAGAGGTTTTAATAGAGGTAATCGAGGAAGTAGAGGTCAAGGTAGATATCAACGATATGAAGGACAAACTAATATAGGAGAACAAGAAAGAGAAGAACAGGTTAGTGAGAGTGATAATTCAGTTTGTTTTATAAATGAAATGAATATAGAATCTAATATGTTAAACAAAAATAATGAAAATGAAATAACCTTCTGCATTGTTAGTGGATGTACTGACCATTTAGTTAATAATAAAATACATTTTTCAAATTTAATAATGTTAGATAAACCAATAAAAATTGCCATTGCTAAAAACGAAAACCATTTAGAAGCTATAGGTGTAGGAAGCATAAATGTTTATAGTTATGTAAAAGGTAACAAAATTAGTTGTAAGATTGAAAATGTCTTTTATGTTCCTCAATTAAGAAGAAAGCTGTTATCTGTTAAAAAATTAGAAATGGCAGGAATAACAATTATTTTTGAAAATGGTACAGTGAAATTTGTTAGCAATAGTAAGGGTATAATAGGTTTAGGTAAAATAAATAATTTATATGAGATTACTTTTGAAATAAAACATGAAAGGCAATGTCAAAATGTTGCTAATGAGAAAAACAATTTTAAATTATGGCACAAGCGGTTTGCTCATTTAAATTATTTCAGTTTAGGAAAATTAATGAAATCTGATATGGTAGATGGTATAGATAAAAATATGAATATTTGTAAGAATGAATTTTGTGAACCTTGTATTGCAGGTAAAATATCGAGAAAGTCTTTTAGCTCTAGAACAAAAAGTAACAGAATGCTTGAAATTGTACACACAGATATATGTGGTCCGATTTCTCCAGTCTCGTATGACAGTAAAAAATATTTTATAACTTTCATTGACGATTACTCAAGTTTTACAGTAATTTATCTATTAAAAAATAAAAGTGAAGCATTTGAAAAGTTCAGGGAATATTATGAAATGGTAAAATCAATGTTTGGCTTTGCTTTATCAAAATTAAGGTGTGACAACGGTGGCGAGTATGTATCGAGGGAATTCAGAGATTTTTGCAAAACTAATGGGGTCATTTTAGACTATACAGTTCCGTATACGCCTCAACACAACGGAAAAGCTGAAGGAAAAAATCGAAGCTTAGTAGAAAGGGCTAGGACAATTATAGATGAATCGGGTACTCCTAAAGAATTATGGGGAGAAGCCATTTTATCATCTAACTATATAATAAATAGAGGACCAGTAGAAGGGTTAAATATCACACCAGCTGAACTATGGTATGGGAAAAGACCAAATGTTAATAATCTAAGAGTTTTTGGATGTAATATATACTATCATATAAGAAAAGAAAATCGAAACAAATTTGATTCAAAATCTAAAAAAGGTATAATGGTGGGTTACACATTAAATGGATATAGGCTATGGGAACACGTCCTGATATAAGTTTTTCAGTTAACTTTTTTAGTCGATTTCAAGACAAAGCTGATGATGCTGCATGGATTAAACTCAAAAGAACCCTGAGATATTTACAAAACACTAAGTTTATGGGATTACAATATGTTAGAAAAGATCATTTTGAATTAGCATGCTTTGTAGATTCTGATTGGGGAAATGATATTTCAGACAGAAAGTCAGTTACTGGTTTTGTAATAAAATTGTTTGATAATCCTATAAATTGGGCTACAAGGAAACAGCATTGTGTATCCTTATCAACCACAGAGGCCGAATTAATAGCCTTAAGCCAAACAGTTTCTGAAGGATTATGGTTTAAAAAATTATTAGCTGACTTCGATATTAGAATTGACTGTGTTATGTTTTATGAGGATAATCAAGGATGTATTTCTGTAATTCAGAATCCAGCAAATAATCGCAGGATAAAACACATTGATTTGAAGTATCAATTTATAACTGATAATTTAAAAAAGGGTAATATTAATGTACAATATATATGTACAGACGATCAACAAGCAGATTTATTGACAAAGGGCCTAAATTTTGTTCGGTTAAACATATTACGAGGTCTTATTGGATTAAGGGATTTTTCAGCGAGGGAGGATGTTGTTGTAACGCTAAAAAACTCCTTAAATTAATGATTGTTGACTGTCTTATGTTCTGTCAGACTACTTGTCACTTGTCAAATAGTTAATGGTAGAAAAAGATTGTGGAAAAGTTAATCCAAGATAATAAAGAGAATCAAAGGAGTATTTACGTGTTTCAGTTATTATAATAAAGGAAAGCAATAAATAGAATTGTTAAACAATAAAATTAAAACAAAGATTTGAGAGGAAAAGCAAATCGCCCAACAAAATTCACTCAAGATATCGTTCAACAGGTTATCGCACACGTAAACGAATTTCCACGAGAAGAAAATCACTACAGTAGAGAAAAACAAAAAAGGAATGCTTCAGTGCTGACTTGAACATACGCAGGCTATTGCGAGCATTTAATGAGCGAGATCCAGGTATATGCACTAACTACCGATTTTATAATACAGTCTTCAAAAAACAGTTTCCAAATTTAAGATTTGGCAGGCCTAGGTCGGACACATGCTCTACAGTTCATCAAATTTCTAGAGGCTTTCGACGGCTAGACAGAGAAAGCACTACTGAGAGGCATCGGTTGGCGAGGCCGACGGATTTACGCAATGAAAGTACACTCTGCGCATCAAGTATTTCACTATTTTATTCAGACTTAAATGTCAGATGTAAATTTCGCTAAAACATTTCTTTTATTTTCGTTTGTTTTTTGCTCATTACAGTTTAATAGAACCTAAGTATGGAGTTTAATAGCAAATTAAGAGGCCGCGTGATTAACAGTCAATCTCGCGAAATAATAGCCAATGTTATAGAGTTTATGAGAAGAGAAGGAAACTTTAATTCACCTTCAATACCATTTAAAAATGTAAATGATCGTGTTGCTGCAGCCACAGGAGTATCTAAAAACACTGTCGTCCGCATTTCTGGAGAGAAAAAAAGAATCGATAACCGTGAGATATCGGAATTTTCATCAACAAGAAAAACCATTAAAAAACCAAAAACAGTTAATGATATAGATGAAGCTGACAAAGGTATTTTAAAAAGAATTATTCTGTTCATGTTAATCTCGGAAAATATTGTTCCAACATTAAAAACAATTCTGACTAAATTTAGAGAAGCTACAGGGTACAAAGGAAGCTATAAAAATAATAAAGTCGCTAGGATTTCGTTGGCGGAAAACAAAAACAAATAGAAAAATATTAATGGAAAGGTTTGATATTCAAAAGCTACGTTTAGACTATCTGATTCGTTTAAAAAGTTATCGAGCAGAGGGCCGTCCAATTGTCTACTTAGATGAAACATACATTCATGCCTCCCACACACACCAGAAAGCTTGGAGTGATAATTCAAATGAGGGATTAAAGAAACCAATTAATAAAGGTGATAGACTAATTATTGTCCATGCAGGAGGTGAAATGGGCTTTATTCCGAATGCCCGGTTAATTTTCAAATCTGGAACCAAAAGTGGAGACTACCACGATGAAATGAATTTTAATAATTTTTCTAAATGGTTGAAAGAAAAGCTGTTTCCGAACCTCCCTCCAAGAAGCGTCATTATTGTTGATAATGCTCCTTACCATAATGTCCAGGTAAATAAAGCACCAACGTCAACGTCAACTAAAAACGCTGACATGCAGGATTGGTTAAGGAATCATAATATTGCTTACGAAGAGGATATGCTCAAAACGCAATTATATAGTTTAGTGCTATTGCATAAGTCACGATTTAAGAGGTATGCAATTGAAGAAATGATAAATGAACATGGTTTTAGTTGTTTGCGTTTGCCACCGTATCATCCCGATCTTAATCCGATCGAATTAGTGTGGGCATCATTGAAACAATATGTAGCTAGTAACAACACTACATTTAAGAGACAAGACGTACAACTGTTGTGTGAATACTTTTTTGATACGTTTTCTAAAGAGGAGTGGCAATCTCGTTGTAATAATGCTAAAATGTGGGAATCTAAATTTTATGACAGAGAAGTTACTTTGGATGAGGCAACTGATAGATTTATAATTAACTTAAACAGTGACAGTGAGACTAATTTTGAATCTGATATGGAAACTGAGGAAAGTTTTTCGGAAGACCATTAAAATTATATCTGTACCTAAGATCAAAAAAGTATTATCTATTTTTACAACGAAGATGCACAAGAATCAAATTTTATTTTTTTATTATTAGATAGCTATTTTTGTTTCTGAGTTGTGTTCATTTACCGGCTCAATTTTTTTCCGTTTCTCCTTTTTGATTTTATATGGGGTTTCAAGTTGTTTTTGACTTATTTCGACGTAAATCACAACAACACACTTTTTTAATAAAGCAAACAAGTGTTAAGAGGTATATGTACGTGTAAACTACAATTACAAAAAATTGATATGAAACCCATGAAACCACCAACAAAAATGTAAAGCTAGCTTCCGTACTAGAACATGGTGTCGAGATAATTTATCGTTTTGTTTAATAGATCAAGAAATGTAAATATTCCCGTTATTTTTTATAAAATTATAAGAGAAATACATTTTTTTCTAAATAGTAGTTTATTATTTTGTAGAAAAACAAAATTTCGAAAATTTTAGTAATGTTTCAGAAACAACCGTTATTAATAATAGGTACCATTTTCCTTAATAAGGTAGAAATAAAATATAAACTATTTCCACGATTTACAAAGGCCTACAAAAAAAATTATAGGTATTTTCCGCTATCCTATAAAATTTATATTTTCTGACTCAATTTCAAAAGGTTGAAGGAATTCCAAAACACCTTTTATGGCATAATAATTATTTTCAATTTTACATACTATCTTTAGCTGCTTTTAAAAACGTTCTAAGAAAGTCCAATCAGACCAATTTAATCCCTAAACTATTCCACACTTTTAAAATTTAATTACCTAAAAATATTAAAAACTATTTAAAATAACTTGTTTAGCAGACTGTACAATAGCTATCTTAGTCACACGTAGCGCGTTCTCTGTCTGGGCGTCGAACACCTCTAGAAATTTGATGAACTGTAACTGCGATATGCTTAACAACAAGATAAAAGTAGATCCAGTAAATCGCGAATTATCCATAAAATTAAATTTGCATCGCCGGCAATCTGAAGCTGCCAGAAAAGCTATGCAAGAAAACAGTGTTGAATCCCAACAGCAAATTAGCAATACTATAGTCTCATCTATGGATTGAGAACAAGTTATATCTATTCCCACATCGAACCATTCGGAAATATTTTAGACAGCTATCATGTTACAACTTCGACATTCATATTGGTGACAATGATACAGCATTGATTTTATGAAATGAATCGGTGGCAGGAAGAGGGGCGGCAATGAGATAGTCAAGGAGAAGCGCTGCATCTGGAGTTACAATCGCAATGGCCAGAACAAGAATATAAAATTATATTCGTAATAATGATCTTGTTACAAGTGGTAGAGTTTCACATACAGAGCAAAAATGTCTGAAGCCCAGATAGAGGCGCAAAGGATTTACAAAACTTCATACTCAAGCAAACATTGAAAGAACGATCAAAGATAGTTGCCACAAAGCCCTTATATTTTTGTACACACTGAAAAAAAAATGACTTCAAGGATCTGCATCATTTCGCCTATGTATACATAAATATTTCAAAACTAAATATTTCCCAAGTATTCTGGGTAAACATTTCAAAAAACAACCACTTCACGGTATCTATTCGCAAATCTTTTAGTGACGTAGCGCCGTGGGATACCTGTAATGTTCCGAAAAAATAAAAATAGCTTGCTACTTTCAGATCAGAGCCCATTCCATTATTGGAATGCAAAAATCGCATCTCTAAAGCAAAATTAGAAAATTTGAGGTCTATGTCATATTAAATTCCTTTGGCTTATCTTGGTTTTTATAAAAAAATTATTGCCAAAACAATTGTACAAGGTCTGACTCAAGAAAACCCAAATCACGAGGGAATATAGACTTTAGTTGTAAGACTGTTTAAAAATAAAATATTGTTGGCACTTAGACTTGTAACCTACCGCACCCAGGTACCTTAATAATTTATTAATTTCATTTAATAAATATAATATTGCATTCTTATCAAATTCAAAATCCTTCATTTAATGAAAAAACTCCCAGATAATTAAATCTTATTTACGACACCTAATAAATAATATCTATAACCACGTCCGTGAAAGATCCAAATTTCGTGCACGTGGCTGAGCATCAGTTCAAGAAAACATATTTTTTTCACGAAGTAATTATCATTAAAACACTTAACTCGCTTATCTTTCTAGTTTCAATGTTAAGACCGATTTCGACAATATTTCGATACACAAAGCTCTCAAGGCACATAATAAATAAGCCACCCCCTGCACACACATTCGTATTTCGATAAGAACTAAAGACATAGAGACGTCACAAAGGCCATCAAAATTTAGTATATGAAGTCAGACCCAAATGAGCTCGGATTCATTCATTTTTAATTATTTGATGTACATGCATTCATATACATTATTTGATGTGCAAGCATTCATTTATTATTTGTACCCAGTTATATTTCTTCAGTAGTCAATACCTTTCCTAAAAACGTTCTTCCTAAACAACGTCTATTCTACAATATCTCCCATTCCCGAACGATGTCAACGTCCCACGCCTTATTTCCGACGCTTGCCGTCCCTAAATATTACATAATTCTACCGTACCACAGTACCACTACAGTACCGTATTAAATACCTTTCTTTCCACCACGAGGCTAGGCGCCTCGACGCGAGGCGATGCTCAACGCTGCGACGTACCTAAATCGACGCCGTCACAACGCTAGATGAAATTAATACATAATCTAATGTCTGTATTTTCAATGGTGAGTCAAATGATTTATGTAACTTTCTTTGAGATACCACCGGGGTTTCGTTAAAACAAAGGCTTGACATTTGCTGTAAAATATTATCAATAAACCACATGGCCTTCAGGTCATACACCCCGAAAGACAGTAAGGATAAACATCTGTTTGGATGGGTGAAATTTTGAGTATTTTAATAGAAATTATAAAAATCAATATTAAGAAATATACAGGGTTGTATTAAATAATTTCAATAGAAATTATAA